CACATAACTTTCTATTAATGTGTTTTGATACAGCTCTTTGGGAACATCCAACTTCTTTTGCAATGACTTTTTGAGGCTTTCCCCTCCTTATGAAGGGTGTCGATGATGATTTTCTGCACAACTGTCAGGTCAGCAGTCTTCCCCATGACTGGGATTCCTACTGAACCAGACTGAGAGATAAAGTCTCAGGAACCCTTTGCAGGTGTTTTGAATTAATTAGCTGATTAGACATTAACACTTTAAACCTACAATATTGAACCTTTTCACAATATCCTAATTTTCTGAGCTTTTGAATTTCAGGTTTTCATAAGGTGTAAGTCATAATAATCAAACTTAAAACAAATAAAGGTTTGAAATTTTTCACTTTGCATGCAGTAAGTCAATATCTTATATTACGTTCACCTTTTAAGTTGAATTACTGAAATAAATAAACTTTTGCATGATATTCTAATTTTTCGAGTTACACCTGTATTTTCACCTCACACTTGGTAATGATTAATAACTTTTCATTTAAATTAGGTCAGCCCATGAAGCAACATCAGACTTTGTAACATCAGCAGTTGATCAGATAATTTAAACCAAGAAAAATGTCTTACTTTTGGTCAGTGTGCAGTTAAATGCATCCTCCCAGAACTCAGTAAGTATTTGAGAAGAAGCCACTTGTGAGGTGGACAGATTCAGCAGGAAGTCTCTGAGACCTGGGATTCTAGACTTCGGAATCCCAAATCCAATGGTCCCAGCACAGAAACTGAACCTCGTTAATTCTGGGTTGGTTACCCATGATTCACTGCCAATCCACTGGCGGGGTGGGGAATGCTGATGTGATAGCTCCTCCAACAGTGCCCTCATGTCCCCTAAAGAGAGAAGTGCCACAACAACCATGGCTGTAGACCTTGACAGACAATATTGTGCATTAGAAGCATTTTAAAGTGTAACTGCATGAAAAAATGTAATTTTGAAGACAGTAAATCTAATATTTGCAGAAATAATATCTGCGATGAGGACACCTGCGGATAACATCTGCTACTCTCTGAATTCTGCTATGTGGGTATGTTCGATGGAAAGAAAGAGAGTACTCCACACAGATCCCCTCTTTCTGTGCTGCTTTTAGAAATGAAGCCATGCCATTATTTCCATAATCCGAATCTGACCGAACAGCACCTATCCAAGTCCAGCCAAAGTGTTTTACCAGCTTGGCCATTGCTTCAGCTTGGAACTGGTCACTGGGAATTGTTCTAAAGAAATGTGGGTACTGCTGCTTGTCAGACAAGCATGCGCATGTTGAAAAGTGGCTAACCTAAACCAAAAGAAATAAAACACCACACACCGCAAAATCAAATATCATGCACATACATATTTTAAATTCAAAAATTGACAGAAATTGAAAACATTTACTTGGGGAATGTTAAAGGACCTGATGACTTTTGACAAACTGATGGATTCTGTAGACCCCGAGCCACCAACAACAGCCATCACCATACCAGAATGTGAGCAATTGTTATCCATGGAAAACACAGGGTCGAAGCTATTTAGAAACTGAAATGCCATGTGCACTGCTACAGGCACTGATCCACATGAGTCATAGATCTGATACCCGAGCCTGATTCCAGGCAGCAGCTCTGTGCTGTTGTTAATCTCTTCTATGGCAAAAACCATTGCACGCGATGATTGCAGTTCACTGGTGAAAAGGCTGCAAATAGTTGTGTCACTGTTAGAATATAGACTGTAGATTTAGTTTAAGTTAAATGTTAAAAAATTAAAATAAAGAAAAAAACAACAACAGGATAATTTAAACAAATTAAAGTCTTTTTATTTCCTTTTAAATATAATTCCTTCCCTATATTTCCTTTATAAAACTGTTATTTAACATATTGTATAATTTCTGTTTTGAAAATAAAACAATTTTTTTATAAAGAATAAATGACTATTTTTATTTACATTTTTTAACACTGCACAGAATCAATGTAGTTCCATAGATCATAACACACATGAAAACATTTCTCTCCTTACACAGTCCAACATGTTTTTAGCACCTTCTTCTTCCCATTACTGACTTTCTTATTTACTAACCTTCCTTTGCATTTTGCAGGCTCAGGCATTCTGGTGTAGTCACTGTAAACTGTGTTCATGTAGACGTGAAGGGAAAAATCACCACCAATAACAAAGTCCCCATCCTTTGAAAATGCAGGTAGACGAGTGCTTCCCTGCAGCTTGCAGTTCAGAGAGGATGTCGACGTACCAGCTTGAGCTCCTATATGCCTAGTCATTTGTCTCATACCATCTAGACACACTGCAAAGGCAACAGCTGAGTTGAGGTGAAACAAACACACAGCCAATACCAGACCAATTACAAGAGCTGCTATCTCCATTTCCATCTAAAATTGTCTGTATATGGGCACACATTGTTTCCATTGGTTATATAAGTCTTCAGACAAAGGGGTTTGGTCATCTTTTTAAGGACATGTGGTCGTGGATTAACCCTTACATAGTGTTGACAAGTCTTCACAGTATGGTTCATGTACATTTTGATTGGGACCAAGATTTCCCTCATAATTATCGGCTATGACAAATTATGAACTTCAGATTAATTTAGAATGGATTATCAACAGATTTTTAATCCTTAACTAATGTTTCATAGAGCAGAAAGAGTGTAAATTCTTTGTGTACATTTTTGGTTTTGCACCAATTGTTTTTGGAGAAAAACATATTATCACACAAGATCTTATGTCGGTATGCCTAAGACAGAAACATATCATAGTATCAATAATTTAAACATATATTTTTTTAAAGTGTAAAGGGCAAGAAAATTCTGGAATTGTTGGGATTTATTATATAACTGTACTTCATAACCATCACTACTACTAACATTGTCTTTACTCTGTAACTAATATCTGTAGTGATACAAAGGAATTAAAATTTAGAGCACAAAAGCCATTCATTAGTCTGCATTCAAAGCATTGGGGGGAAATGTTGCATATTTGGAATTTTTATGTGTTTCTTAACCTGACTAAAATGGCAGCTCAGGTGCTTCTCTGTTCTCACGACATTCCACTCCATCTTTGATAGCTGTTTTAATCTTAGTTAGCTCATAATAAACGGATCCCACTTTTTTGAAAAAAAAAGTACCTTTTTTCCACTACTTTTTTACTTGTACTTGAGTACATTTATGAAGAAGAAACTGTACTTTTCCTCCGCTACATTTGGCAATATTTGACCCGTTACTTTTTAAAAAAAAAAAATAATAATTATTTCACACATTAGATAATGCTACGAATAATAGATCATGGTGCCAGTGGAGTTTCCTGTAACTCTTTCACCAATCAGATGTAGCCATGCGGTCACACGACCAGTTATGAACTGTGGCGGGCAGAGCAGCCAAAGCCTTTCTGAATTTCTTTTTAGCTGTGTTTAGGTGCATGCCAGTCTTTATGTTACAGAAGCTGTGTCGAGCTCGATTCCTCGAGGTGTCGGTGTACTGCAACTTTTTGATATGTCCATAGTCCAATTAATTAAATGGCTAAATTGCCACCTCTGCATGCAGTACTATAGAGTCTTGCTAATGACCTAATGATTTTATTCTGGTGTGTTGCGGTGAAGACATGTTTAATAGTTTTAGGACACTGGGCCTCGAGGATTGGAGCGGTTTTCCTCCTGCCCTCAGTTTGACTAAACTAGAATCACATATTTTCGGTGCTACGTTGTGGTGAGATAAGTTCGTGGGTGTTGTCTGCAGCTTTTATTGTCCTTTTAATGTCTCGCTGGTTAGCTAGCGTGAGCTATAAGCTAACAGCTAGCCTGGTTAATAACGCCAGAGTTCCACGCACATTTAAACACAGGGGCCCTTTCTCAATTCTCAAGTACGCGAGTACGTACTCGC